TATTGCTATGGTGATCAAAAAAATTGAAATTGTTGCGGACGTAACGAACATCGATCGAATTACTGTATTAGTATAGCGTTTGTAAGTCTAATAATAGTAGTAGTAGTAGTAGTAATGAGTTTGTAATGGCATAAGCACACATATTCTACATCACCCGATCAACGTACATACATACTACGACGACGATATGATGATGATAATCGCGGTGCGGTCGTCGCGACGCTCGCATGTTTCTCCCGCATTAAACATGGCCACTACAAAAAAAAAACAAAACTTGTAGTTGTTGTTGTCGCTTGTTTTTTTCATCGTTCGGGAAACAATTGCTGTCGCGGCCACTTTGATTACACTTTTATTGCTTCTGAATTCCGCTGTTTTCCACGCAAATACATTTACCAATCGTTCAACAGCGACGGCACACACTTTTCTCTTCCTCTCTCTCTCTCTCAATATATTTCAGTCCACTCGTACAACATTTTTATTATTATTATCAGTACGTAAATTACAATTCGATATACACGACAACTCGTACGAAACGGTGGATCGCGGCACGGAAATCGAGTTACAGTTAGTTTATTTTTTTTTAATACAATTTTATTGCTGCTCTATTATGCAAATGCATTTCGATTAAATTACACACACATACACAAACGCTAATGCATCGAAACTAATAACGATTTGCTTTTGTTCTTTCAATCCTTCATTTGTTTCCATCCGACGGACGGACTGACGACGCCAACTGCAAATCTCGTGCGCGTGTTTTACGAGAAACGAAACGATAAATTTAACCCCCTCGGAATCTACATTTAAGTGCACTTAAGTTAAGAACGAAACGGACCTTCGATAATCTTCACTCGCTCGGCCCATTTCCATCGCATTCTCCACTCCACACGCATTTCCCTCCATCGAGAATCTCACCTTAATTAAGTCATTCCCGGACAAAGTTGTACTTAAGTCACTTTCGCTCCACTTCAGATTTACGTTAATAATCTGCGAATTTCTCTGTCTTCATATTTTCGCGTTAATTGTCAAAGAATGGTGAAAGCACCTCTTCATCTCGTTACGTGTAATATTTCCTTAGTCTCATTCTTTTTTCACGAAATTGATTGAAGAGAATAAACACTTCTTTTCTCCTTAACTCACGTATTTCTCTTTTTCTTTTCTTCTTTTTTTCGACTTAAGTAAGGTTCGGGTTCTTATCTCGCGCCGTTTGAGAGCTTTATGCTGTCCACGCAGATTAAGTCGCGCGCGCCCGCCGACGACCATCCTTTCTTCGGTACCCTCATTCCTCCGGAGAAGCACCATCTCTCGGTCAAAACTAACGAAGACAAAGTAAAACAAAAAAGCGACCATCACCTCGACTTGATTAATAATAAGTCCGCGAAGATAAGGGGGCAAACCAGACTCTCTCGTAAATAGTTTTATACTTTTTCCCATTCCTTCGTCTTAAAAATTGATTCTCGGAACAAGTTAAAAGACGAACGAACGAAGCGAATAAACTTTGCATTTTATACTTTTTATTTATTTACTCTGTCTCTTGAAAATCGCGCTCTTATATTAAAAAAAAAACATAGTTGGCCTCGTTTGGTCTTCGTCCCTTACCGAGACTTGTTTACAACTGAGATGTCCCTCCATCTCGCTCTCTCTTAAGTGCATCTCGTTATGTAACCATAGCGACACGGGGAAACCAAGAGCGGCATATCGCACCCTGGGGAATCCACTCCTCTTTTTCCATACTCCACTTGCTCTTGCCTCGAATGTAAATTCGCTTCTTGAGAGAGAGTATAGAGTGTGCATGTAAGTAAGCTAGCTAGGAAATGTTACGTAGAAAATCGAAGAACTCTAAATCCTCGCTCACCCCACCCCGAACCCATTACATTTACGACTTAAGTAGTCGATATCTAAGTCGACTTAAACTCATTACAGATAGAGGAGGTGCGGTGCCGTAACGAATCGCATTCTTCTGCTGCCGTTACCGCTTTCCCTCGACTTCCCAAACACTTCTAATTCACATATCATCACATATTTCTAGAGCAACCGATGATTCTCTTTTATTTAACCATAGTTAGTTCATTTGTTAAACAGCCTTTCACTTGATTTCGATTGTTTCAGCCATTTTTAATCAACTGTCAATTACTTTAACGCGTCTCGATTTTTTGTTTTGTTTATAGCCGCCATCTTGGCGATTTCGATTGTTCTCTCAATCGCCATCTTGTTTCTTCGATAGTCGCACTTTGTTTCTCGAGAAAATAAAACGCAATCGCAATAGAAACAAAAGAGTGAAGCACGCTGGCGGCGGCGGCGGAATCGGTAATTTTTCTCGGGGGATTTAAGCGCGTGCAAAGTGGATCGGAAAGCGGCGCGGGGTGGGAGTGAGGGAGGCCATCAGCCTGAAGATTTATGGCGGTTATGGAGAGAGAGAGAAGTAGGCTGGGGGAGGTTGGAAAATGTATATATATATAAAAAGAACGCGAAAATTGAAGGAGGCGGTGGAGCCGCAGCCGCCTCCGCGGAAAACTAAGTGAAAATGACAGCGGGGCTCGGGGAAAACTCGCTTATTGCGAGCGATCTCAGAGCCGACTTTATATCCATATCATCTATATAGATATAGACTACATAAAGAAGATACGCGTTTAAAAGGAAGCAAGGGCGGCTTAAAAACGTTTTGCACGCGTTACGTCTTCTTTATATGTCACTCTCTCTTTTTTTCTTTTTTCTTCTTCAATTAACTTAATTGTTTTTTTTCCAGCGCCTTCTTCTCCTCCTCCACAGTTTCCATTTCAATTGCTGATTCTAAACGACTCAAATTCACTTTAGAATTAATTGCCGTAATCTGCAAAAGCAAACGGATTAAGTAATTGAAAAACAAAATAACCTCAAAGTACTTAATCCAATTGACGACCGTCGAATCGCGTAGGTGTAGTAGCAGAGAGAGAGAAAAAAGCATTTGCATTTAAAGAGCTCACTTGTTTTGTCGATTGTTTCGACAACAAACAAAACGATAAAACAAATGACAAAATAAAACAACGATCGATCGTTTAACACGGAGCACTTTGTTTCGAACCGCCTATCCTATAAATTCAAACGATTAACGAAAACAAAAAAAAAAACAAAAAAAAACAATTACGTTGTCACAATTAAAGGCTACTTTATTTTTTGCGAAGAACAAAAGACTTGCATTAACGTTATGAATCTAATTGCAGACTACTCGGATCGAAAACAAAATCGTTTCCGCGTGCGCAACTGCATTTGTTTTTTTTTTTGTTGTCTCTGCGGTAAATCACCACTTTAACAATAATGGACGTAACGATTTTGCGAAACAGTTACGAAACGCTTTCGTTGTTATTATTATTATTGTACGATCGCCGTCGGTTGCGATGGTGATGATGAGCGTCGCATAAAATATGAAATATCATTACCATTTTGATTATTTGTTATTGTCATGACAACAAGTATAGTTAAGTATAGTTAAATTTGCTGTAATTGGAGGAGAGTTGTTTAGAAAACAATCGCAGTCGTAGCCCTCTAATCGAGACAATTTTGTTAGCATGCGTATGCAAATTAACAGTTCAATTAACGGCGCATATTCAATGCATCTCAATTAACATATTCATTAACAACTACTTTCATATGGTTTTAGAAATTCAATTATTATAAAGTTGAAATTGAGTATCGAAGATTTGAATTGTTTTTACTCAACATATGATCTAGATTTTTGTTCTGTGCCCAATTTATTCGTTTGTTTCGTCTCTTTCTCAATGTGGGGCAGAAATTTCCGATCCAGAGAGTTCTTAAAAGTGGAATTATACGAAAAGAGAAGAAAAGACGAAAAGAAACGTGAACGTTTCGTCGTTAGCGCGACGGTGCGATAATTCGCCCGTCGAAACACCTCGGAACGGGTTTTCCGCTAATGAACGAGAAGAAGAGAAAAAGAAAGAAACAAACGAGGAGAGATCGTGTTTTGTCTTCTCCTCGGCAACTCGGTTTTTATATTTCAAGATTTTATGTTTTACACTTTTGTAATATCATTCATTTGTTTCATGTCAATGCTGCTTCTGCGTTTCCCGTAATTTCAATGTTTGTGAGTGTGGATCACTTAAGATTTAGTGTTAATTCTGACTAACTTATTGCTTGTAGCTTCTTTCATAACTGTAACTAAATATGTTTAGATTTTGAGTATTTGAGAAGTGTTTTTCTTATTAGTTTCAATGTAAAATCTTTTGGTATTTGGTCTAATTTGGAAAGGTGTAGTCTTGATGGATTTAGTGTGTAAAGTCTTTGGAATGTATGTCGTCGTCGTCTTCACTTGTTCTTTGTTGAACGCATTTAGATTTAGATGTGTTCTTTTTCTTCTTCTTGTGTGTATGCTTACCGGCTAATCTGTCTTTGACGACTTGTGATGCGAAGGCGGCTGCGGCGGCCGATCTTTGCAGGACCGGATCCAGACCGAGCGTCCATGGTGTGAATACCGTCGACGGGCTGGTGGGCCCGGCGCCTCCACCACCACCGCCGCCCGTCGTTCCACCGCCACCGCCTCCTCCGATCGGTCTGTGCGCCGGCACCCGGAGCACCCCTTGCGTGTAGAACCCGGTGGGCACGAATCCACCGAGTGCTCCTCTCTGCTGCAGGATGTTCGCTTGATGGTAGAGACTGTTCGCGACTTCAGCCTCGTCGCTTTCGCTCTTCTGATCGAAATTCTTTCCCAGCAAATTCGAAATGCTGAACGGTAGAGTTGTCGTGGTCGTGGTCGTCGTCGTCGTCGGCTGATGATGATGATGGTTATGGTGATGATGAGATATTTGATTGACTTGATCCGGACTCGAACAGTGACTCCTAGGTTCGCTGTCGCTATGCGACAGACGACTGTCCGTGTCCATCACGTTTATCTCGTGGTCATCGTCCAGCTCACGGTCCGACATCTCGCACACACAATTAAACAAGAACAATTGCAAAGATAACAACAATAACAAACTGCACTAATCAATTGTTTTCTTCAACTTCTTCAATTGTTCTCAATGGTACGACGATAACATCATTTAATAGTCTTCGGATTTCTTCTTTTGTTATCGATAATAACAAATTATAAAAAAAAAACAAATGATGATTTGTTGCGGAGAAGGAGGAGAGAAGAAAGCAGAGAAAACGCGATCGCTTCAACAACAACAACAACAACAACCGTCACTCGTCGTCCCACAGTGCTGACTGCGGCCGCGACCAGTAGTTGCCATGGCATCGGCGGGGGACTCGATTCGAGTCGGGGATTGGTCAGATTTGCGGCGGCGACGGTAACGCCCCGCCTACCCTCATCCAATCCCCATCGGATCAACTGATTTCCACCAAATTGAATACGCGAAACTCCCACCCTTTCCACTCTCCACTCCCCCCACCACTCTGTCACTCCAACCATCCTTTGTTTCTTCTCACCTCTTATTTCAAATTTATTTTCTTCAAACATCATTCATTTTCCAATACGATTTATTTAACAAATATTATAATAAATAAATATACAATACATTTCTCGAATAAGTATTAAAATTATTTTAATTTAAAAAAACAATCGAATTAAATTGATTTGTCAATCTTTTGTTTCTTCAGCATCGTGCAAAAGAGTGAGTGAGTGAGCGAGATTAAGAAAGAGAGATTGCGCTCGGCCATCTTTGATGGTTTGCGGGGTGAAGGGGGGAAACAGTAGAGGAGAAGAGAGGGCGCCACCTTCTCCGCCGCCGCCGCCGCCACAGCCGCCCCCCAATTATGCGCGCTCTCGGCCCTGTTAAATAAATGAATTACGCTTTTCGCTGTAATGTAATTTTCCACAATCTCTCTTTCTCTCTCTCTCTCCGTCCCGGTGGCTCGTTTAATGGAAAACGCTCTGTTTTCCGCCCTTCCAACAATTTTCATCCCTCATCCCGAGCAACTTCCACCACCACCACTACCCAAAATTCAAAAACCCCAAAAGAAAAACGCGCACCTCCTACCCCCCGCCACACCTACCCCTTCAACTCGGCGCATTTGTTTTCGAGAACGCCACCAATTGACCTGTCAAATTTGCAAACGAGGTTAAACATTTGACACCTGTCAAGTTTTCTCTATCTCCTCTTCACTTCGCTCTCTTACGTAACAACGGTGATTACGGCATGATCACAATAATAATGATGATGATGATGATGAGGTTGGCATGCGTGATTTCAACGTAATTTCGGACTATCCATTTCTCTTCTTCGATCTTTTCGCACGTAACTAACAACATTTCTCGATTTAACCGTCTTAATTCAATTATATTCAATTTCAATTAACTTTTAATTTGTGTTATTCATTTATCTTCTTAGTTATTCAATCTTTCATTTCTCATTCAGCACTCTAGATATTTCATCGAGCAATTTTATCCATCTCCTTGGTTACCCACAACAAAATTCCCTGACGACCGCTCTCCTCGACAATTGAAACAATCAAAACAGAAAAAAAAACAAGCGGCGAACGTTAAACGAAGCGGCGGCGGCGGTGGTAATTGAGATTTTTATTTTCCAAATGGAAATTACCGGTGGGCCGCAACGAAAGCGCGAAATTTCATTCGAGCTGCGTTCAATTTTTGATGAGATGCGAGCGAAGAGGAGAGGATGACTACCTACTACCACCACCACTATGTAGTATGCATCTGAAACCGTTTTTTTTTTTAAATGCAATCGTTCATTTGTCAATTCACTCGCCTTTTGTTTTCTTCCTCAATCAATCATTCATTTGTTTCATTTATCTTTTTTCTCTTCTTCGTCTTCGATTTGACAGATTAAGATTAAACAACGATTCATCGCTTAGCAACCAGCAATCTTAACACATTGACGACGGACGATATTAATTATAAATAATAGTTTTGTTGCTATGTACGCCACTGATTTTGACTGAGAATAACCTCAAATACCTTAAGTCAATTACAAACTTCAAACGCCGATACATTTCTTATACATATTTTAATAATTCTTGAAGCAATTTAAACAATACGTGATATTGTGACATAATTTAGGCATACTTTGCAAATTAACTTGTGAAACATATTTGAAATTCTCAGCTACTTGCCGCTTCTCAGCTCCTAAGTAATCGAAACGCAACGGCATTAAAAATACAATATGATTATCATAAGCAGATATATAAAACATTGCTAATTTATTCAAATACAATACAAGCTTAGAGCTTGAATATGCACATGATGATATATTCGACTTGAATAGAAATTGCAATAATCAATTATTATTA